AATTGTTCCGAAGAAAAAATATGTAATTTGCAATTAACAAGTACATATTTTTTTTTTAAAACAACTGTGTGTTTTCTTTACACCAATTGATGCCTCTCATTATTTTGCACATAAAAGTATTAAGGTAAGATAATAAAAAAATGAATATTTTACTAGATATTTGGTTGTAAAATTGAAAAATTATTTCAAGCCTCATAACATAATTTGATTGATTTAACGGTTATTGAAAACCCATAATATGCATTACTCTCAACTTAGCCATTCGCGTAAAGATACACGGTGTGTCTTGCGCCTGAGTGATCACTCGATTTCAAGACACTACCGTGTTTCTTGATATATTTTTTAGTAGTGTATACGTATCTATGTGTCTACATCAATATATAAATTGTTATAATAATATAATGAAGTGTGCAAGAGATGATGTTTATTGACAGTTCAAGTGCGATCGATATATTGTGAGTAAACAATAACTTAATTAACAATTTCAACATGTAAATTGCTATATTAAATATGTCTATATGCATATGTAAAGAGATAATATTATTAATTTGAAACATTTTAAATGCATGTCTCTACAATTTATTGAGATTCCAAATCAATTAAACAGCTTGAATAATATATAAGATAGTTTTGATAAAATTTAAAATATTCTCTCAATAATATAAATATGATTATTTATTGCAATTGATTATACACATGAGAATTTATTTTGTTCGAATTATAGCAATACCACTTTGTCACGTGAATACATGAATTAAACAGTTTGATGCATTAATTAAATGTTGTTGTCTGTCGGAGATTATATTCAAGTCAATGTTCAAAAATCATTGATTAGCGAGCAGTACTACAGCAGGATATATTGTATAACCATCTGATTAGCTAAAAGCAAAATATAAGATATACAAATGAATGCTTATAAGATATGTACATATAAAATATATATTTTTAAGAAAACATTATAATCTAATATTCTATAAAATTGCGCGAATATTTAAGTGGCTATCTTACTCTACAAAACATGGATAATGTCATTGGAAATATTTTTCCTGTAAATATCCTGTAAATATTTTTCCTGTATAGAGAGGTCTTTTGGCACAAATCATTGTCAGACTTTTGGCTTAATTCTGTTTCAGTTTATACCATGCATAATCATAGGTCGCATAACATATGCCTTTACATTGCATACATATTATTATTATCTAAATAAGTGTATATTAAGATCTTTATCATATATATAGATAATACGTTGGAACATCTTGGAACACCCAAAGAATATTGTAAAATGCAAAATTTGATAAAATGGATATTAATTGTATGGTTCATGATTTATGTAACGTGTACTTTAAATTTTAAATTTTTATTTAATGTATGCTCGTTAACACACAGAATAATAATTTTGACAAGTTTCTTTTAAAAATCTGACTCTTTTTTAGGTATAGCAGCCACTTGCAGTATGAAGATTACAAATGTGGAAACTGTCATAAAAACCTGAAAGAAAATATGTAAATTAAATTTTTTCGCATAAAAAAATTACATATATAATACACTATATTAAACCTGTATTTTTGTATGTTAATCTAATTTCTACTACTACAAAATATAAAAATAAAAATATCATATAAAAGATGTAATAAAAAATTACAATCTAATTATTTATAAAATAATGTTAAAATAAAAAGTAGAAATAAAACGAGATAAATATAAGATATAAAATATAAGATTATAATCAATGTTGCTATATCAATATTTTTTATCTCCTTCCAAATATCTGCATATCGAATAGAATTTTTAAATTGATGAGTTGTTTTGTCAATTTCATTAACCTGAAATTTGAATAGAATTTATTACATCAAATATATATCTTTATTAAGAGTTGCGCATTATTTTACCTTAATTGTTACATTCTCACAGATATAATTTACAGCGCATAACTTCACTAAAAATAGAAAGACTTATCCACTGACAATGAGACAAAGCCAGAAGTATACTTGTATTTCTTTTTGTTCCTGTATAAGGATTATGTATAAATAATAGCACAATACTGTTAAAAACAAAAGAAATTTCTAAAATAATAGACGGGAACGTAAACGAAATTATGGGAACGTAATAATTTTACCATAAACGAAATTATGGGAACGTAATAATTTTACCATACTATAATATTATAATTAATATAAATTTAAATATGTGTACATAATTATATAGAACACGATTAAATAAAAATATACATAAATATATATCTTATCATGATATACATATATTAAGAATAGTAGATATATTTGCTTTGATTATCATATTAAATCCCATATTAATTATTATAATATTAATTCAAAATATTATATCAGTGAATAAGAACTCATTCCACAGTATAAAACATACCAATAAATAAACCATATTGTTAAAGAATACAGAATACTTAAATATGTAATCCACTTAATCTTCGGTCTAGATGTTTTTAAAGGATAGACACCTAAACCGGCAATAACATATAATGAAAAGATGTCGTACTTCCTGTTGGATCGTGGTCGTCATTGTTATTGCAAAATAACACTGTCAATTTAATAAAACTCATTTATGTATTCATACGCGTTGCAATTATAACAATTTAAAATGTTATTAATTTTTTCATCATTATAATACATGTTCTTTTCAGCACCTACACATATAATCGATCCGCTCTGTTAAAAAGATGATTTATTATTAAACATGCAATTAAAACTATTAAAATGTATGTAATTATACTTTATATGAAGAAGAGAAAGAAAAAAAGAAAGAGAAAGAGAAAAATTGTGTCATGGATCGTATTAAATTATGTGTTTATGTTTATTTTTTAGAGATTTGGAACATGTTTGAAAAAGTTTGCTGCGGATGACACTTTGGAGAAATTAGGCACACTCCAGAAATGCATAAAAAATATATAAGAGATCGAAACAAGCCATTGGCTGGATTATGTACATTCTGACTATAAACTTTTATGATACACTATGGTGGCTGAGTATATAACAAAATCCGCTTGGGGATTTTTGACAGCTATATTAAACTATTGCAGCCATATAAATGCATTTATGAACTTATTATTTATTTTTATCTTATGGTTTGTATAATATTTAATATATTTGTATGTATGTATACACATATATATACATATGTGTGTGTGTGTGTGCGTGTGCGTGTGCGTGCGCGTGTGTGCGTGCGTGCGTGTGTGTGCGTGTGTGCGGCGGCGGCGGCGCGGCGCGCGTGCGTGTGTGTGTGTGTGTGTGTGTGTGTGTGTGTGTGTGTGTGTGTGGTGTGTGTGTGTGTGTGCATCTATGTATATATGTTCATATATATATTTAAATAGCACACACAAATAGTTGTATATATTTTAAATTTTTATATATATTTTTATATATATTTTTATATTTTATTTTAGACATATTTTTATAGATTCTTTTGCAATTTTTATATTAATTTATAAATTATAGACATCACAAGTATTTTATATTTTTTCTTTAAATATTTTAAATATTATTCCATTTATATTTAATTAAATAAAATATTATATAATATATATTTAAAGTATATCATATTAATGTACATTAATACATCACAAATATGTTCTGGAGATAACATTTCAAAATAATGTATTTTATAATTTGTAAAACATTGTAATACAGGTATATCGATAATAGATTTGACGAAATAAACAAGCATATGAAATGTCTATTGATGAGAGAAGAATACGGCTTCCAATGTATAATATTTAAGTGGAAAGGAGAAAACCTATTGTTGGTCTACATCGATATACTTTATGTACTTACAATTACAAGACAGTGTTGTGGATCTTAATGTAAATCGATATATGCACATGTTCGAAAAAATTATCATTTCGATATTCATCTAATAATAAAATTTTGTAGAACTTAGTATTTCCGAAAATAATTAATTAAGAAAATGAAATTTATATGAATTCTTTCAATGTATAACTACACTTTATACGAATAAAAAATATGATTTTCTATAATAACAAAATACATGTCTTTTGATAGGCATCTTCATTTAGAATTATGTCGCATTGCTCGTGAGTTGAATTCGATATTTGGAATGCAAATAACTTTCGAAATGTTATCCTACTTTGCAAGTATATCAACAATGTGTTATGCTTTATTCGTGATGTTAGTGCAGAAAGATAAATGAATATATATATATATATATATATATATATATATATATATATATATTCTTTTACCTTAATTCTAACACTCTCACAGATATGATTTATAAAATAGATTCTCACTACTAATATGGACATCCAATAGATAATATTAATCCATATGTATATATATATATATATATATATATATATATATATATATATATATTATAGTTTACTTAGAAATCGTAATCCAGAGCTCTTGATAACTGGACACATTTATAACGAAAGGATTACATTTATACAGAAAAAAATGAAATTTGTAACAATACTTGTGTGGTTCAAGTTATTATACCATCAATTTATTAAATTATTAACAATTCAAGTAAAACAATTTTTATTAAAATGTTGCTTTCCGCGTATAATGCTAATACATTGTCCGAAATTTCAAAAATTTTAATTGATTTATGATGATATAAAAGGCAGAGTAAGAGAAGAAAGAATTGTTCAAAACATATTCGAATTTGTAAAATATTTAAATAAATATTTTACAAATTCGAATATGTTTTGAACAATTTTTGTTATTTAAATAAATATCGAGAGTTAAAAATCGAAAAAAACTTAAATCGGATTAAATAGATTTTATTTTTAAATTATTTTATATTAATCAATATTTATATTAATTATTATTTTATAATAATTAATATCTATTAATTATTATTTTATAACAATTTATCTACATAATAGATTGTCACATTATTACAGTATATAAAAGTATTCTCACAAAAAAGTCATTTTTAATTTTCAAGAAATATAATAATACTTATTTAAATATTATTATAATTAATATTAAACAATATTATAACGATTAATTTAAAGAGCATAAGAATTCTGATGTTTTTATATCTCATTTTTTTAAGATTACATTTCTTTCATTTTCTTAAGTTTTGCCTTCTCTTCGCTGCCTTTTCGTCTTTCGAAAGGAGATCGCGAACAAAAGAATCACGCATACGATCATACGTCAAGAGAATTAGTTTCTTCGCAAAAAATTACGTAAATATAATACATAATTATAACGTTATTATGAAATTAGTCCCCAGCATGAGTCATGATGCAACTAGTAAACTTTCCAAACGTATATTGTACATATGTAATGTATGTGTGTGTGTGTGTGTGTGTGTGTGTGTGTGTGTGTGTGGTGTGTGTGTGTGTGGTGTGTGTGTGTGTGTGTGTGATGTGTGTATGTGTGTATGAGTATATGGATATATGCACATATGGCTGGGCTTATGATTCGGCTGCATGATGATCGAGTGGTAAAGCGGAGTCCGAAGAATTACTGATTTCCGGACAAGTGCTTAAGGACTACAGTTAAGCGCAATACATGGACAGGTCGCTTAACGTGCACGAATTGCGACAGCATTCCTCATAGATGTCTTCCGGTTTTCGTCGATTATTCCTATCATCGAACGTTCCATTCGACGTCTCCTGTGCTGTTACTGGGGACGGGGAAGAGTCGGAATCAAACTGATAATTGGCCATCGTCTTTTCTGAAAATAAATGCAAACTTTTGTAGCAGTGTGTAGAAGTAATATAAAAAGATCGTATCGTTCAAACACTTTTTCTATTTATATGCATAATATCCGGTTTAATTGAATAATTTTTACGGGCAATTTATTATTGTTCCAGATAGCTTCATTTTTTAAACTCGTAATCGAAGGCTACGTAATGACATCGATAAATAATCGCTGTCCAAAAAATGCCTTATTATAAATATTGCATGCGTTTTAAAAGAAAAACTATCGCATTTATATGATTTTTAATAGATTACAGAATAGATTTATCAGTATATAACAGTATTTAAAAAATACATATTAATAACGGTATTTAAAAAATACATATTAATAACAGTATTTAAATAATTTGTATAAAATATTTTATAAAATATTTATAAATGGCAATTCAAACAATATATAACAATTAATTAAAATTTCTTCTATTTTATTGTATAAAACACATACGCATATGTGATTAAATTCTAGCAGTAAGAGATACGTTAAAAAATTCATAAATAAATCTTGCTGATTAAACTATCATCTTCAACTATAATTACAAATATTAAAATCTGATAAAAAAAACATTGCATACATTTAGGAAAGAAATATTATTTAACATTGTTGCAGAAATAAAAAATTTTGCTCACTAATTCATTACCGATATCCTATTACCGATCTATCCTATTTGGCGTTTGGATTCGTTTATATAAGCAAAAAAAAATATCTTTTGTATTGATTAGCTTTTATGCTTACCTTGATCCGTACTGTTATCATACATGGAATTGTATGTGCCATTACAGACTATACGTAGAATATTTAAGAGCATTTCGCCACAATATTTCTGGGGCAAGATCGCGGGCTCTTGGTTGAGGTAGCCGTTCGTTTGTGCGTCTCTTGATTCCGACACAAAAAACGCGATGGCGATCATCAAGTTCACAAGCACGTTCAATTGGTTCGTGGACATCTGAAAATATTCGTTCTCATTTAATTACGCGAACGCATACACGAGGTTGGATTAAAAAACTAAAAGAATATATTATATATTTATATTTATCAGAGAAATATTTATTATATATTTTATATTTATATCAGAGAAAATAAGCTTATTCGAAGATAGAAAGATAAATAAGAATAGAAAAATAATTAGAGAATATAAAATATAAGTGAGCATGCGTTAATTAAAAGTAGATTGAAATTGTGAACAGCGGTATCATTACGCAACCTTCGACCAAATGAATTAAAAAAATGAAGTTAACTGGAACACGCGCGGACTAGACAACTCACATCTATTTCGATAATCTTGAAAGTATTCAATATATTTTATCGAAGGAGTGCGTTTTTGACTACATTTGTGAAAACAGCAAAAACACTATCTCGGACAAACAGATAATTATATTCAGACTGTATGTTAAAGAAATAAGGTTTCATACAATGCACAGGCCTGTATATAAAAATATAAATAAATACGAATCTAATAATTCAAAATTATATTCTCATATATTTCAGTTAGGATTAACGATATTTGTTTCGTGAATTTTCAAGGATGTGACCTTCCAATAATGATACCGTGTATTGTTCATAGTTTGTACGAAAATATACCCATACATGTACGCATGTATTTCTGTTAGATTTGAAAGTATAAAGTCTTGTTTTTAGTAAAGATATTGAGAAAGATTAATAACTGAGCTTTAAAAATTAAATATCTATTAAAATGTCTTTAGAATTAATGAACGAATAATTTTATATATATATATACTTTATACAAATATCGGAGCTTGTTTTATAAAAAGCAAAATTTCATTTTCAATAGCTTACAACTAAATAGCGATAATTATCTCAGTGCCTCAATATTTTCATTATATCAATAAAGATCGAATCTAAATGTACTTTCGATATAATATCAATTTGTATATCGGTATACTTATTAATTTTAACTACATCGTTTTAGGCTACAATTTACATAAATACACTTTTATTTTGATGTTTCAAGGTTGATGAGGGAATTTATTCGCGATCGATTCGCAAACAACGTTTCATTAGACGTGTCCGAGTCATTACCGCAGTAGACACATTGGCTTGCTCCTTTGAACACGCGTAACGCTAATTAATATAGGACAAACCACTTCTATTTCCGGCGCATCGAAATTAGCGATAGAAATTAGCGTTCAACTAAGCTATAACTGAAAGAAATGACGCATATTGATGTCGAATTATGTCTAATATTATTTATCTTTTCCTCGCGATTAGTACGACTAAAAACACGCACATTTACAATTCGTAGCATTATTGCTCCGATAGATCAACTTTAATTATATTCACGATTTATCATAAAATTCTAAATATATATACTGAAATGAAATTCCAAATTAAATTAACATTCTGTCTTTAAAGTTGATGAGGCAATTTCTGAACGTTATTTCTAATATCTACTTTAAGATTTCTTTTACATACCTTGAGAGTTTATAAAGATTTTGCACTCTGATCCGGAAATCTTCCTTAAATATTCAGAACGGTAATTCAACTATAATTATTCTTTGTCTGGAAGAAACTGCGTGATCGTCGGTGAGTCGTTCTCGTCGATCTGAAGAAGGTCGCACATCTTTCAAAATATGAACCCCCGGATGGGGGAAATAATTGTGTTTATGTTTTGCGAACGCGGGCAACTCGTGGCATCTAACTGTGAAAATAATAAGCGCGATCGCACGTCGTCGATACACCGTGAGAGCAAAACAATTAAAAATGTATCGGTTTAATTTATCGGCGAAAATTAGTTCGTACGCGATATAACTCATTATTCTTAAATTTATTTTCGTAATCTATTAATGCAGTAATCCATTTACGTAAGGTATTGCAAAAAGAGAAGACTATCTAATAAGAAGTTTCAAATTAGTTTTTTCGCAAGTGTGAATGAAATGTGAAAAAAAGAGATCGGGAAATGAATTGTTTTTTGGAACACAAATTTAATATATTATGTTAATGCATTTTTCTCTCACTTATTTTTTCGCATTTGTTTCTCTTTAATATTAAAATTTTTTCAATTTAGATCATTTAGGAATTTATTGATTTCTTTGAATTCGCATAATTTTGCGCATTAAATAAAATATAAGGCTGTATCGCTGCTTCAAATTCTCTTAAATAAATTGAGATTAAACAATAATTATACGTGTCGATAATAACGTGTGTTCATTGGCTTCTCGTTTGGCGCCTTCGATGATCATAAACAGAGTACCGAACTACATAGATCCTCTCGACAATCTTAAGAAGAGATGCATTTTATAGCGAAAAGTTCTATAAATTGAAAAGACTACTCGGTTATCTTTAACGTTTTCCCTTTTCTTCCTCAACCCCGGAGCTATTCTCTTTTGATCTTTTTTCCTCTCTCTCGTTTACTGTCTCTCGAAAAACTGATGCATTTCTATTCTTGTCTTTTCTATTAATATTTTCTTATTATTCTCTTTTCTCTTAATATCTGTAAAGTACTGCCGGCGGACACCATAAATAATAATGCATAAACACGTGAATATAACACTCGGAAAGATACTAAACACACTTATACGCACTAATGTCCGATCGAGTGCATACCGGCCAATGGTGGTCGACTTTTCCTATCAAAGCGCGAATGCATACAAAGGAAATTTTTACCTATTCTCGCAGTTGTACATGTGTGAAAATAAATAATTGAAAAATCCCAAATCTCTAAATTGTTTCGATTGCATATGGATTCGCGTTATTTTGCTGTCAAATTGCGCGATAAATTTTTATTATCGACAAAAGTAAGCTGTCAGAACTGATACAAGAGAAATATAACTATAAGTAAAAGTAACATATAATTTAGGTCGTTAAGACCAAAAAAAAGAAGTGCACACCTATTTTAACATCAAATTTGTTTTTCTAAAAAAGAAATTTGTATATAATAAAATTTCACTATATTTACTATATTTATTATGCATTTCCGACTTATTTTTCATATAGAATTACATCCTTTTTGATTGTACTATTAGTTTTGATGCATTCGATATTATTATACATGTTTTTCATAAAATTATATACTTATTAAATTCGTTTATTATTATTTACTTGTAACAGATTTCGCAAAAGGAGTTGAGAAGATGTCACTAGCACGAAACGATGCGCTCGAAGAAAATAGGTGAAATTGTAACTCTTGAACGTTAGATAGGAGTATATCTTGATAGGGTAAATGTCCAAATCGAAGATTTGTTTCATTTATTAATGTTGTAGATATCATATTGATACATGATTGTACAAGAAATTCATTATAATCTCCTCCTAGCAGTAAAATTAAGTGAGATTCCGTTGGTAGACATCTCATTAAAAAATACCTTTAAAATTAACATAAAATAACAATAATAGAGAGATAATGTTTTGAGATAATTTTATTAGGTACTTACAATAAAAAAAATGAATATATTTTTTCGACAAGATTATGATATTTATATGATAATATGTTATAATAATATACGATAATAAATGTCTATTATGTGGGTAGCATCGTTATTACAATAAATAGAAATAAATTCAGTTTTAATAATTTCAATATTTAATCATAATAAATTCAATTTTTTATCTTAAATATATTCTTGGGAAGTTAACTTATCGATGCGATTAAATCTGTATAAGAAAGCTGTTCGTCTGACGATTTAACTTTTTTATCAATAGCAAAAGAAAATATGCCCACAATTAAGAACCAAAAAAGAACACAAAGAGACACGTTCGACATTCTTTTCAGAAATTTATTACATAATAATATTAAACTCTTTAGAATAAAATCTTGGTTACTGGAAAAAGTCTGCTAACATTGCTGTTCCATTGAAAAAGAAACGATTGTTAAGCCTATTGCACGAAAGTACTTTTATATTATTTACCTAACTAGAACACACAAGCGCGCGGTTCGCGGGCGCCATTGCTCATTTTATATGAACAATATAATATTAAAATAATATAATAATGTATTTATATATAATTTTATAAATTATCTAATTCAATAAAATTTTATTTATAAACAAACATTTTCTAATATTTAAAATATAAAATTATTTATAAAAGTTTACACATGAATATTTTGAAAAAGTAATAAGTACTTTATGCATTAAATATAATTGTGACTTTTACTATGATAATAAAATAATATAATAAGATATTAATAAGTGACTATTATTCTCACTCCCTCTCTCCCAGTTTTTTTTTTAAATATTTAATACATTCCCAGACAGCACAGGACATCCTATGGACATTCATTTTATGTCCATTTTACGTCCGTACGTCCATGGACATGAAATGACTGTTCATCGTACATCCGATTCGGGACATCCGTTAACGGCCAATATTTGGACGTCCACAAAATGTCCGATCTTGGACATCAAAGTTTCGCGCGAGCACGCAAGGATGTGTTAGTTCGTTCGTTTACCGCTATGCGACGTGCGATGCGCTATCTTTCTCGTATTTAAGTTTTAGTTATAAGAATTATATAAAGTTTGCAAAGAGTAACAAATAAGATTAAAAATATACTGTTCAATTTAATTTGTGATTTCAATACAAGAGTTTCAGATATTAAATTGATTTTATAAGTCGTACAAGTAAATGTCCGGCAAATAAACGAAAATAATCCGGTACTTATTTAAACTTGCTTGTTGCACTTTACATTTTAAATTACCTATTTAAAATGTAGAGTGCAATAAGCAAGTATAAATATAAATAAAATTTTTACATGAATTTTATGTAAAGTTTTATATGAAATAGATAAATTATACTATTTTATTATATTATTTAATTTTGTTGGGCCAAAGAATTTTTTATGTTTTAAATGTTATGAAGGATACATAATGCTATTTATTTATGTATAATAAAGAACAATTTTTTATATATGATTAAATTAGGTCAAAATCCATACATAATTATATCTACACAATTATATATAATTAAATATAAATTTTTTTCTGAGTTTATGAATTTTTGATATTTATTCCAATAATAATTTGAAAGAGTAAGACTGAAAATGATGTCCATTTTAAGTCCTTTTTTGGATTGTTTTTTGGACATCCGAAGTAGTGAATAACCGACGTCTTATGGATGTCCAATGGATATCCGTCGGACTTAATTCAGACATCTTATGGACGTCCACATGTCCAAACTCGAATGTCCATTGGACGTCCATAGGAGTTCCATGTGCTATCTGGGTTTGGACAATACAATTTTTTTTGGAAACAGTAAAATATTTATAATTAATATTTTTTTCCGACATATATATATATATGTATATATATATATATATATATATATATATATCTCGGAATCTTTATATGTTAAATTTGACTCATTGATATCGAATATCAGCATGTTGCCTCAAGATAATGTCCCACCAATGAAGAGCAAAATGATAAAAGTGAATGGCAACTATCCGTTGGTACTCCACGTCCTGTTATAGCAGCTATAGATAGGCTGCTTTTTTGATATCGGGACGAAATCGATTACGTTTTGATGTACCAACATCGGGAAGTGGCGATTAGCTCTTGCCATTTTGCTCATCATTTATTGACGGGACATTATTTTGAGGCAACATGCTGATATTCGATATCAATGGATCAAATTTAACATACAAAGATTCCGACATATATATATATATATTTATATATATGACTTACTATAAATTCGTGATTGGTTTCTCTCTCTTTTTTAATGTTGATTCTTTATTCCAATTTAACTTTCCAATTTAACTTAGACTGATCCACAAAATGTAGTCTGACTGCTTCTGTTGACTATCAAAAGTACGATAAATGTCACATACAATTATAAGCAATATAAATATTTAATTTGACTGCAATTTCATGTCTTTTCGAGAAATCGTTAATCTTTCCTTTTACACATTCTCGATTGTGTATTATAGCTTATTTAGAAATCGTAATCCAGAGCTCTTGATAACTGCACACATTAATAACGAAAGGATTATATTTACAGAAACAAAATGAAATTTGTCATAATAACTGTGCGGTTCGATTTATTACACCATCAATTTATTAAATTATCAACAATTTAAATAAAATAATTTTGATTAAAATATTGTTTTGGACGTATAATGCTAATACATTGTCCGAAATTTCGAAAACTTTAATTATTTTATGATAGAAATTATTTGATGATAGAAAAGACAGAGTAAGCGAAGGAAGAATTATTCAAAAAATATTCGATTTTGTAAAATATTTGAATAAATATCGAGACTTAAAAACCGAAAAAACTTAAATCGAATTAAATAGATTTTATTTTCAAATTATTTTATATTAATCAATATTTATATTATTATTTTATATTAATATTATTATTATTTTATAATGTAGTCTTAGAAAAATGAGATATAAAAACATCAGAAATCTTATACTCTTTAAATTAATCGTCATAATATTGTTTAATATTAATTATAATAATATTTAAATAAGTATTATTATATTTCTCGAAAATTGAAAATGACTTTTTTGTGAGAATGCTTTTATATACTGTAATAATGTGATAATCTATTATGTAGATAAATTATTATAAGATAATAATTTATCTACATAATAGATTATCACATTATTACAGTACTTTCCAAACGTGTATTGTACATATATAATGTATGTGTGTGTGTCTCCCTGTGTGTGTATGTGTGTGTATGTGTGTGTGTATGTGTGTGTGTGTATGTGTGTTTGAGTATATGGATATATGCATTTATGTCTGGGTTTATTCAGTTGCATGGTGATTTAGCGGTAAAGCGGAGTTCGAAGGATTACTGATTTCCGGATAAGTGCTTAGGGACAGTTAAGCGCAATACATGGACAGGACGCTTCTCGTGCACTTATTGATGCAGCACTCCTCGTGGATGTCTCGCGCTTTCCTTCGATAGCTCCTACCGTCGAACGATCTATTCAACATCTCTTGTGTTCTTGATCGGAACAGAAACGGGAAAGAACCGGAAGCAAATGCATAATCGATCTTCTTTATTTCTGAAAAAAGTGCAAACTTTTGTAGCTGTGTGTACAAATAATATAAAAAATCGTATCGTTCCATCACATTTTCTATCTATATGCATCACCGGTTTAATTGAACAATTTTTATGGTCATTTTGTTATTGTTTATTTATTACATTCTGCTTCTTATTTTTTCTCATTTAAAAATCTAAGAAAGTTTGAGATTTTCCAGAAAGTTCTTTCTTGTCACATGCCATCTTTAAGATCATACATCAGTGACAAAGTGATGATTGGTTAATTGCAGACAGAGATTGATCATTGCTGCTCTTAATCGTCTTTCATATAATACTGTGCTTAAGGACCTATTTAGAAATTGATGGGTTTAAAGCAAAAATTCTCTCATTTGGAAGCAACCCATAATCAATAATATTATAATAAGCCATTATTTTAGTCAATAGTTCATTTGGTCCATACGCGTTCCAGATAGCTTCATTTTTTAAACTCGTTTAGTCGAAGGCTACGTAATGACATTGAAAAATAATCGCTGTCCAAAAAAATGTCTTATTATAAATATTTCATATTCTTTAAAAAAACTACAACAACTATCTCATTTATGTGATTTATTAATAGATTATAGAATAGATTTATCAATATATCATATTAATAACAGTACTTAAAAAATTTGTATAAAATATTTTATAAAATATTTATAATTTAAATGGCAATTAAAACAATATTTAACATATGGTTGTGGTCCTTATCAAGTATACACGATGTAATAAAAATCAGGAGACCGGCATGGATGATAATCTTGTAAATTGCACAAATCACATTAAAAAAACACGTTATTTTAACTCAGTCTCTTGACGAAGTCTCTCACAGACGCATTAATTTCTCTCGAATTCAAATTTATTTAGTTAAAATAACGTGTTTTTTTAATGTGACATGTGCAATTTACAAGATTATCATCCATGCCGGTCTCATGATTTTTATTACATCGTGTATACTTGATAAGGACGACAACCATATGGTCGAAACGTCGTACTAATAAATCAATTTCTGGCTAGTTTGGTCGTTTATATTTCTTTGATCCCTTTATTTATTGGACTAGCAACATCAAGATATTCATAACCTTTTAATATTTAACAATTAATTAAAATTTCTTCTATTTTACTGTATAAAACACATACGCATATGCGATTTAATTCTAACAATAAGAGATACGTTAAAAAATTCATAAATAAATCATGCTGATTAAACTATCATTTTCAACTATAATTACAAATATTAGAACCTGATAAAAAAAAACATTGCATACATTTAGGAAAGAAATATATTATTTAACATTGTTGCAGAAATAAAAAGTTTTGCTCATTAATCCATTACCGATATATTATCTATCCTATTTGGCGTTTGGATTCGTTTATATAAGCGAAAAAAAATATCTTCTGTATTGATTAGCTTTTATGCTTACCATGATTCCTACTAGTATCATACATGGAATTGTATAGGTCATTACAGACTATACGTCGAGTATTTAAGAGCTTTTCGCCACAATATTTCTGGGGCACGGTCGCTTCTGGTTGGGGTAGCCGTTCGTTTGTGCGTCTTTTTTTTGATTCCGACATAAGAAATGCGATGGCGATCATCAGGCTCACCAGCACGTTCAATTGGTTCGTGAACATCTGAAAATATCCGTTCTCATTTAATTACGCGAACACATACACGAGACTAGATTAAAAACTGAAAGGAAGGAATATATTATATATTATTTATCAGAGAAATATTTATTATATTTATATCAGAGAAAATAAGCTTTTTCGGAGATAGAAAGATAAATAAGAATAGAAAAATAATTAGAGAATATAAAACATAAGTGAGCATGCGATAATTAAAAGTAGATTGAAATTGTGAACAGCGGTATCATTACGCAACCTTCGACCAAATGAATTTAAAAAATGAAGTTAATTGGAACACGCGCGGACTAGACAACTCACATCTATGAGTTTTAAAAATCTATTAAAATGTCTTTAGAGTTAATGAACGAACAATTTTATATATATACACTTTATACAAATATACGAAATTTTGAAGCTTGTTTTATAAAAAGCAAAATTTCATTTTCAATGCTTACAACGAAATAGCGATAACTATCTCAGTGCCTCAATATTTTCATTATATCAATAAAGATTGACTCTAAGTGTGCTTTCGATATAATATTAATTTGTATATCGGTATTCTTTTTAACTACAATTTTAACTACATCGTTTTAAGCTACAATTTATATAAATGCACTTTTATTTTGATGTTTTAAGGTTGATGAGGGAATTTATTCGCGATCGATTCGCAAACAACGTATCATTAGACGTGGCAGAGTCATTACTGCAGTAGACATATTGGTATGGCACGCCGTTTTGCTATTTATTAATAAGATGTTCTTAACCTAAAATAAAAATTCAATAACTGATTTAAACTGAAGTAGATAGTTTTTCGGCATCATTTTTATTATGTTATAACATAATAAAAATGAATTAAAATTATGTCTTAACATAAAATTAATTCAAAATACATAGGTCCATATTTTACATTCCTTTTTATCGATAAAAGTGCCTCTAAAAGTGACTTTATAAGCCTTCGGATTGGTTATAAGCCACTTTTAGAGGCACTTTCATCAATGAAAGAGGATTCAAAATATGGACTATAAAAAAATATACAGCCTATACGTGGAATTATTTTTATGTCAAGACATAATATTAATTCATTTTTATTATGTTGAGATAATATTAATGTATTTTTATTTATATCGTAACAAAATAATAATTGTAGGAATATAAATTATGTAAGCTATCATAATAATTCAGTGAATTAAAATTACGTTACGACATAACAGAAAATCACGATTTAAAATTATGTCATGTCCTAATAGAAATTCGGTAAATAAAAATTATGTTAAAATAGAATAAAAATTGAAAATTAAAATTATGTGTGACTGTCATTTTAATCCTAGATTTCATAGTAAACTCCCGAATTTCCATTATGTACATAATTTTAATTCGTGAATTTTAATTCAGGAATTACAATTATGTACATAATTGAAATTCGGGAATTCCCATTATGTACATAATTTTAATTTATGAATTTTAATTCAGGAATTAAAATTATGTACATAATGGAAATGCGAAGATTAAAATTATGTGCATAATTTTAATTCGTGAATTTTAATTCAGGAATTAAAATTATGTACACAATGGAAATTCGGGAATTAAAATTATGTGCATAATTTTAATTCGTGAATTTTAATTCGGTAATTGAAATTATGTACATAATAAAAGTTCGGAAATTAAAATTATGTCCATAATTTTTATTCCCGAAAAATATTTATGTTATAACATAAAATAAATTTAAAATTAATATTTTATCTAGACATAATTTCAATTGTGCATTTTCAATTATGTTACAGCTAAATAATAATTTGATGAATTATAAATATGTCTAGACATAATAATAATTCTTTTTTCTTGAGTATTATTTTAATGTGTTAGAATTTTTATGATAATATTAAATAGCAAAACGGCGTGCCATACATTGGCTTGCTCCTTTGAACACGCGTAATGCTAATATAGGGCAAACCACTTCTATTTCCGGTGCATCGAAATAGCGATAGAAATTAGCGATAGAAATTAGCGTCCAACTAAGCTATAACTGAAAGAAATGACGCATATTGATGTCGAATTATATCTAATATTATTTATCTTTTCTTCGCGATTAGTACGACTGAAAACACGCACATTTACAATTCGTAGCATTATTGCTCCGATAGATCAAACTTTAATTATATTCACGATTTATCATAAAACTCTAAATATATATACTGAAATGAAATTCCAAACTAAATTAACATTCTATCTTTAAAGTTGATGAGGCAATTTCTGAACGTTATTTGTAATATCTACTTTAAGATTTCTTTTTCATACCTTGAGAGTTTATAAGGATTTTGCACTCTGATCCGGAAATCTTCCTTAAATATTCAGAACGGTAATCCAACTATAATTATTCTTTGTCTGGAAGAAACTGCGTGATCGTCGGTGAGTCGTTCTCGTCGATCTGAAGAAGGTCGTACATCTTTCAAAATATGAACCCGCGGATGGGGGAAATAATTGTGTTTATGTTTTGCGAACGCGGGCAATGCAACTCGTGGCTGCGAAGATGATAAGCGCGTTCGCACGTCGTCGATACGCCGTGAGAGCAAAACAAATAAAAATATATCGGCCTAATTTATCGGCGCGCGAAAATTAGTTCGTACGTGGTACACATTATTCTTAAATTTATTTCCGTAATCTATTAATGCAGTAATCCATTTACGTAAGGTATTTCTAAGAGAGAAGACTAGCTAACAATAAATTTAAAATTAGTTTTTTCGCAAGAGTGAATGAAATGTGAAATGAAAAGATCCGGAAATGTATTGTTTTTTGGAAAAAAACAAATTTAAGATATTATGTTAATGCATCTTTTTCTCATGTATTTGTTTCTCTTTAATATTACACTTTTGTCAATTTAGACCGATTAAGAATTTATTGATTTCCTTGAATTCGCATAATTTTGCGTATAAAATAAGATATCAGGCTGTATCGCTACTTCAAATTCTCTTAAATAAAATGACATTAAACAACAATTATTATACGTGTCGATAATAACGTGTGTACCGTTCATTGGCTTCTCGTCTGGCGCCTTCGATGATTATAAACAGAGTACCGAATTACATAGATCCTCCCGACAATCTTAAGAAGAGACGCATTTTATAGCGAAAAAAAGGTTCTGTAAATTGGAAAGAGTACTCGGGTATCTTGATCACTTTCCCTTTCCTTCCTCAATTCCGGAGCTATTCACTTTTGATCTTTTTTCCTCTCTCTCGTTTACTGTCTCTCGAAAGACTGAACATTCTGATGTTACGCTCTCTGAATTATGGATATACGAAAATATTCATAATTATATACGAAAATGTTCTAATTATATGTCATTATATATTATTTCTATAATATAAGTAATTATATTATTTTTTTTATAATATATGTAATTATATTATTATTTCTATAATATATGTAATTATATGTAATTATATATTATAGAATATATATATATATATATATATATATATATATATACATATATACTTCATCTTTTCTGATACATGTCCTATATGGAAATGTTTAATATCTTATCTGATTAGATATCCATATCTATGTACAAAAATACACACAAATCCTGCCCCAAGTAATAAGGATTAAATTCCTTTACTAAAAAGAGATCATCAATTGGATATAGGGACCATAAATAATATAAAGTTGCTTCTCGTCTTTGATGTTTTCGGTTTGCCGTTTCGCTGGACCCGAGGCTCCGCTCTCAGGAAGTGATTGTTACGCTCTTTCTTCGGCCCATTTCTCCTCGAGCTTGGTCATAATAATATCTTGCACGGTGTTATGATTTATCATTTAACACTGTGGCAAGATATTATCTCGCTTCCGTATATCTATAATTTAGCAAGCATATGTACATTCATATGTAATTATATTCCTACTAAAACATAATGTTATATTATCTTCCTTTATCAGAAGCAAATGAAAATGCGAATCGCATTTGTCGTCAAACTATCATGTAATTAGTGTGATCTTATTAATGTGAAAGTAATAGCAAGAACAATTATGTGTGTTTTCATGTATATTTTTTATCTTAAGAACAATTATGTGTTTTCTCATAGATGAAAGAATATTTAATAGTAAATAGCATCAATAAAAGTGAATAGAGATAGATTTTATTATTGCTTCAGATAATATTGTTATTATTATAAAACGTATATATTTAATTATTTCATTACAAAATTTTATTACAATTATTTTATTACAAAAAATCAAAATCAAGCTATATAATTTTTATTCATTAGTGAAAATTCTTTTCTTATATATGAGGAATAGATAATATGCATAGGCAAAAAATAATTTATAAAAAATGAAATGTGCAAATTATATTATTGCAACGAACGCTGGATTATACAATGTAGAATAAGCAATATTAAATATCTTTCAACCTATTCCATCGTTTTATTGTTGATGATGAATCCGCTTATTATACCGACATATTCATTTATTATGTCACATACGTCGAAGAAAGATATTACTTTAGATACATTTCTTCCGATATCAAAATTCTTTTATAATTCTGGCTTATAATGTGTTATCTTTTTACCCAAATAAATAAAAGTATAAAACATAGTTAAATTGATATGGAACATATACACACTCTTATCTGAATAAAATCGATTAACCATGTAATTGTTATAAAAGCATGATATTATAAATATGCCTGACATTCGATTCTCTTCTATCTGAAGAGCAAAGTTAGCAGATATTCCCTAAGTAAAAAGAATTTATACTTAAAATATTGCATTACTACGCAGTAAAATTTTCGAAAGTATGCCGAACGTGACTTTCTGTGTTCTCTTCTCGTTATTAATTGTAGGCACATTTTCTTTTGCTATTAATAATAAAGTTACATCATTAAACGAACAGCCCTCCTATACAGATTTGGTAGCATCGGTAAGTTAATTTTTCGAAAATATAATGTTTGACAGAGTGAAATATTTTTAATTATTATAAAAACAACTGTGTCAGCATCACACGTTTATTATTGTATATTATTATAACAAATTATCATATGACAATATTATTTTAAATTTTTCGAAAAAAGCTATTTCTTTTTTTATGTAAATATTTTCCAATATTTTTGTTAATGGAAAGAATTTTTCTGTTAAATTTCTTACTGTAAAAAAAAGAAAATCAATGTTATAGTATGAAGCTGGTAGGAAAGAACACACTCAAATCAAAAAGAAATTTTAAGCAAAAACAGAGGTTGAAAAAATGTATATTAAACGATAATTATTATCAAGAAACAGATTAATAATTTTATTAAGATTTTGGAGGTATTTTTGATGTGATAATTAAATATTCTGTCTACTAAGCCAAAAATAATTCCTTTTTTATATCAAATGTTATGAATGAAAATTTAAAAGTCCAAGAAAGTCGGTTGAGTATACCAGTCAAATTAAATAAAATTTTTATTTAATTACAATGACCACATCTAAAAAATTGATAACATTATTTTTTCCTATTTCGATCGTAAATTGAAGTCTGTAATGGAAGAAGTTAAATAGAGTCCAGTAGAGTAAAATGAAAAGAAAGGGAAGAAGCAAGTATCCTCAATGTATTCAAAATAAAAAAAGAGTGAAAGAGGCAACTTAGAAATAGCTTGCTCTTCAAGATCTTGAAGAAGCAAATCCGTCATGATAGGAGAGAGGAGAGAGCTCATCGGTATACCGAAAGATTGTCGAATATATTTTGAATTTAAAAAATTAGAATGTAGCACTAAGCGTATACCGATTCGAAATTCGGAGTATAAAAATATTAGTATTCTTACCAATGAGGTGTCACATTTTTCAATACCTTTAATGACAAGTTCCAATGGGACGTTCATAAAGGATGAAATGAAGAGAAATGAACTTGTGTTGTTCATTTATAAATTGACTTTATAATTTATTTACGAGGCCAATCATATAAAAATCGTATTATAAGATTAAAATATAGCATATACATACACTCGCGCTTATTTGAATGAAATCGATCAATTATGAATAAATAATATAAAAGTACGTTCGTGTAATACGCTTAACATTCGTTTATTTTTCATTGGAACAGCAAAGTTACCAGAACAGCAGACCTTCTTTCTGTAAAAAAGATTTTTATTCTAAAGAGTTTAACATTGTATTATTATGCAACAAATTTTTGGAAAGAATGTCAAACGTGTCTCCCTGTGTTCTCTTTTTGTTATTAATCGTAGGTATATTTCCTTTCGCTATTAATAAAAAAGTTAAATCGTCAGACGAACAGTCTTCTTGTACAGATTTAATCGCAACGGTAAGTTAATTTTGCGAGAATATATTTGAGATAAAAAATTGAATTTATTATGATTATACATATATTATATTTATTAAGATTGAATTTATTTTTATTTATTTATTATAATAATTTGATTCTATCATAATAAACGACTCTACCCGCATACACGTTTATTATCGTGTAATATTGTAACATATTATCATATAAAAATCATTATAAACTTGTCGAAAAAAATTATTCCTTTTGTAAGTACGTAATAAAATTATCTCGAAACATTATTCTCCTCTCTATTATTGTAATTTTATATTAATTTCATAGGTATTTACTTTAATGAAGTGTCTACCAATGGAATCCCATTTGATTTTAGTGCTAGCCGGAGATTACAATGAATTTCTTGCACACTCACATAATAATATGATACCAGTAGCATTGACAGATGAAAGAAATTCTCGATTACCTCGGATACCTTCCGGAATGGACTTTGAGCGCATCGTTTCGTGTTAGTGACATCTTCTCAACCTCTCTTGCGAGCTCTGTTACAGGTAATTAATAATAAAACAACTTAAGAAATATATGATATATATAATTTTATATGTATAATATATAATTTTATGAAAAATATCATGTACAATAATATCAAGTGCCTCAAAACTGCTAGTACAATCAAAAAGAGAAGATATAAAAAATAAGTCGAAAATATATGTATAGCAAATATAGCAAAATTTTATTATATGAGGATTATTATATGTTTTTTTAGAATAACAAATTTGATATTCAAATAGGTGTGCTTGATTATCTTTAGTCAGAATAGTCTAAATTTAAAAATTTTTTAAAATTATATGTTACTTTTATTCACGTTCAGCGTCCAGATTCGTTTCCGGCGTCAAAAAATCTGATAAATTTACGTACTCTGCTTTTCGTAACCAATCAAACCTAATATTTTGCAGGCCTGTGACATTAATATATTTTGGCAATTTAATTGAAAATAAAAATTTATATGTATATTATATGTATATATATCATATAAATATATATAATATTTTTTTTTTTTTTTTTTTTTTATATAAATATATATATATATATATATTATATATATATATATATATACATATACATACATATATTTTCGAATCTATTTATAGTCATAATA